AGACAAACATATCCACATTCCTCCCCCCCCCCCCCTTCGGACATCCTAAGACATTTTTCCTCTCCCCCCCCTTCGGACATCCTAAGACATTTTTCCTCCCTCCCCCTTCGGACAGCAAAAATTTCCTCCGTGGGGGGGTATGCATCTTTTCTGGAACGACCCAATACAGAACTAGAAATTATGGTCATATTATTATTAAATTAAAAAGACCAATAATTGATCTTCAATTGAAATGCTGAATTGTAGTTGACCTTAATAATCTGCTAATGCATGATAGTGATGATATGTGGAGGACAACTTGAACCGAACTGCTATTTATGCATGAATCAATTCCAGGAGTAACCATCCCCCCTCCCCCGGGAACACACCCGGGAATTTGATTTGATTGGTTACGATAGTGCAAATGCCCAGGTGCAGGGACACAACTAGGAGACTAATGCACGGCACCCCGGGGACGATTTTAAGCGTTATTAAATTAAACTTTTAATGGCATATCGATATCGTAGGCATTAAGTCATTTAATAACATTAATACATTATACTATTAAACTGCTATGGAATATTATAAAACTTAAATCTTGCTAACGGAGTGACGTGGTTAAAAGGATTTAAACAACGAAATCATAAACCTTTAATGGTTGTATTTAAATTTGCATGGCACAGGTGATAATTTTCGCGAAAGTGAAACCATTTGTCAAATCCCCGGGGTCTCAGCCACTATAACAATACCCGGCCCATGTATATGACAGGCAAATTCCCGACCCCCGTGAACTGTCTATCACACAAATTTCTGGGGGTGTTCCGGGGGGGGGGGGGGTTACTCCAGGAATTGATTCGTGCATTAGCAAAATAAATGATGAACTCATTATTTCGGTATGCCAAGAGGTCCAGACTATCCAGAGTATTTCCGTGTCATGTATGGTGGCTGCATGGAAATTTATAAGCTAAAAACGTAAGACCACTTATGGGCCATAAATACATAGACTTAGGATTTTCTTCAAGATGTGCAGGCAGAAATTCGAGCTTTCAGAAGCTGGTGAACAGGGAAGTGAGGGAACATGTTTCCTTGTGCAGCTAGACCAAATGCTATACAGTCTGGCAAGAAGTCTATATATCAATTTTCAAATTTCAACTGGAATATGCAATCATCCCCTCCCTGACGCCCAGTATGGAAATTTGTATCATGCAATTGGTATAGCAGGTGAACAATTTCATCAATTTCAATTAGGTAGCTAGTTCAGTGACCTTGTTTGCATGTTTGCCTGTTGCAGCATTGCAGGTACACATGAAGGTTATATCAATCCCATGTTTCGTGCACAAATATGTTTCTCTTTGATCTTGATCTACTGTGCATAAAACATGACAACAAGGACATTGGAGCAAGAGAACAATATAAATAAGTCTATTTGCACTATAGTAGTTTGATGGAGGGTTGAGAACGGCCAGGAAACTCTCATGCAAACTAGCTGACACTTGCGCTCAATATTTTGTTTGAACAAAATCTTGGCTAGAATATACAGCAGTAACTTGTTATACAGCAGTATAATTACTAAATAGTAATACAGCAGTAACTAACAGACACCAGTGTGCAAATAGCTCCAGGCTTTGCTAATGCAGAGTCGACTCACATACTGTAATGCAGAATTTGATCGATGCGAAAATGCAATTGTAAGTTAATGACTTTATAGAGAAAAACTAGATATTAGGGAAGAAGGTCTAGGAATTACAGTTAAAAGATAAGTTTAGAAATAGGGATGGGGGTAAATTGTTTAAGTTAGGAGTAGGATTGGAATTTAGGTTAGACATATAGTGTTATGGATAAAATTTGAGCTTCCCTATAGAGAGGGTCAGAGTTTATGCCATTTAGGGCAAACTGAATCACAGACTCTTTATAGAATAAACAATCAGTCATATGGTTGCAAATTTTTATATAATGCATGTATTCTTGAAAACCAATGGCATTTTATACTCCAAAGAATTGTTTTCACAAACAAAATTGGATTTTATACTGTGTCCCAAAATATTTATTCGTATTTGAATGGTAGGCATTATACTTTGCTATCAACATTAAAGAAAATAAATTTTTTTAATATTTGGCAGTCAGGCGAAATGTGCTCATGCATTTCATTTAATATCTACACACGACACTCCACAGGGGACCTGACTATGATGTATTATAATTCAATATATTACCCCACTATAATCTCTGTACAGTTATACAGTTGTATCAAACCATTTTGATACTCGCTGCATGTATAGAGATTATGTATGGGATAATATATTGATATAGCAGTCATGGTCGGGTCCCCTGTGCACACATCCGCTTTAGGCAACGTTTTTAGAGGGGTATTGAAAATTTGCGTTTTTAGGTTCACATTGGTGAACTGTTATTGCGTTGCACCTTAACCACTCTAGCAGCAGTTTAAGTTAACAACATTGTTCATGCTTTTTTAATGCTTATGATATCAAATCATCTTCAATAGTGTTCAGCCAAATGTAATTGTACAACTGTTGTAATGTTCTTGTTTGTAAGATATTTTCTATGCTTATCTTTTAGCATACTTTGAGCTATCTAACTGGTCGAAATACAGTACCTAGCGTGTTTGTTGGTGGAAAGTTCATTGGAGGAGGAACAGAAACTGATGAACTACATAAATCTGGGAAACTGACAGAAATACTTAAGACTAACAACATTCTATGATATTTTATAAGTTAGGGGAAATACAAAATTTCAGAGACACCAACCTGGAGAAACGTGTCTGCAGTGTCTCACACACGAAGTCTTCACATAATTGTGGAAAAATTTGTTCCACAAAAAACAGCTTGCTATCGGTGGCAAACCCAATAAATTTGGATAAACTGTGACTGTCTCAGTACGGCGTCATCTTCCCATGTCGAATTGGAGCGGTTCAGTTGACTCTCCATGGAACAGTTTACATAGGAAATCAGTGAAACCAAGTGTAACGTTCTCAATTTGTATCAATCAATGGCAATCAATTTCCTGTTCTACAAGCCTAGTCCTATAGCTATCTTCTATTTTTCTTTTCCCACCCCAACACCAAAAAAGACGTCTTTGTTTCAGTCGCCTTTGCAGTAAAGTTGTGGACTTTAAATCCTATCCAGTCCTCGTTTTCGGCATTATATATTTATATATCCTCTCTTCGTTCCATCTATATGATTGCTTTGTTTGTAACACGTGATTGCTTTTGTATTTGAAGTAATAAGAGTGCAATTTGAAAAAAAGCGTGCACGACTGAGTTTTTCAAAGACGACCAAAGTTGCACGAGTCTGTAGTGCAAGTCAATGAAGTTTGAAGTCTTCCAAAAAATATTTTTTATATTTATAATATACATGATGATGAAAAAAAAGATTTCAGTGAAAAATAATGTTCGAAATTATAAATATTTATCCTTAATAATAAGGTTGGGAGTCGAAAAGCAAGCTGGAATGATGTTCGTTCATGTTAATTTTGTGATATCAGTCTTAGTTTTCCATGTAAGGAGAAAAGGCTTAAACATACTGACTTAAATATATTGTGTTAAATGGAAACAAAGTCTTGAGAACTTGAGGTTTAGGTTAAAATTGTGTGACACATGATAAAATTGTGTGAGTTGGCAGGTCTGTTATTCTCTAATTCAGTAAAAAATTACACATGGATTGCTTTTTCTGACAGACATGGTTGCATTTTCAGTCAATGTGAAAGGCGTCCTCCGTAAAATGTTCCTGGGGTTACCACATGAATCCTCTATTGATCATGCTTATATGGAATATACAGTGATAGAAATTTCCGTCATATAAAATTATGTGCCATGTATAAGCTACTAACTGCAGTGGTGTCTGACCGAGAAGTGTTTTTCTCTCTTTCAGAAAAATAAAATTCTAGTTTTGTCCAAAGGTCCATTAATTTTTGATAAATCATAAAATACGCAGCTGCACATGAGATTAAAAAGCTACATTTAATATATTGGACTGGTTTCTTGTATTTTCCCGTCAAAGTATATAACATAAAATCTCGTTACATGTATGTCATATATTTGACCCACAGATGCATGGTATGAATGCACTTAAGGCCAGGTTGACTGATTGATTATATTCTTTGATGCTTTCTTAGTTAATAAGACTTTTTAATTGATTATAACCAGCTGCGTGCATGTGTAATTAACGTATTTTAAAATACTTAGTGAAGTGAAAACATATATAACATTAGAAACTATTTACAAGTACTGCACATGAAAGCAACGATTTCAGACCAAGCGTCGATATTAAAGCTAAAAAAATAAACACTAAAGATCGATTTTCTTCAACCGTGGGTTTTCCATGCACTAATCATGCATGTTAGGTGAGTATAGCAATTGGTTAATATTATAAGCCCCGGATTAAACGAGGATAAGAGTGTATGAGAGTTGGCAGTCAGATGACCTTGGTTAGCCCCAACACTATCATGATTCATGTGTTCTATTTTTAGAAGTTTTAGTATAGTTGGAACACTCATCAAACCTTTGTTGAAATAGTGCATGACTAAATATTGAAGTAATATACTGTAATTTAAAGTTGCAGGACCCCACTGAAAAACACTTCGGTGATGTGGGTATCCTGGATAAATATGAAGATAATAATAATAATAATAAATGTTCACCGTAAAAATGCCGGCGTGACTGCCAACTCGCATTCTTATTGCATGGACCACTAGCTTTAGTGATCGTCTCCTTGTTTTGAGATTTTTTCCCCATACCAGTAATATATGTTAATTTGAATATATTTTATACATTAATTCTAAGTATAGGTAATCATGCGATGGCGAGTACAATTAGGGATTAATAGTACAAGTGATGTTTGGAAATTTTGCAAAAATTGACGAACGAGCAACATTGCATGATTACTTGCTTATTATTAACGTGACAAAATTGGATAATACTCAATGTCCACATCATATTCTCTCGCCAAAGCCCTGTCCTGACAGACTTTCAACCAAAACTTTGTAGTTTTGTTCGTATTTTTATTTAGTTATTTTGGTAAGTTCCTCTAGGGCAATTTCACTTGTGTTTAAAATTTAAATGTTGTAATTGATGATTTTCTCAAAACAAACAAAATAACGGAAATGTTTCCGTCATTTTGTTTGTTTTGAGAAAATCATCAAATGTACTGCAGTACAATTAATGAAATAATTGTACTCTTCTCAACCAATCAGCATCCAGTAATTTTGTCATGCTAATAATAAACAGGAAAACAAGGCTGATGTAGTGACAGCCCCCGAAATTGCACATATATGACATCGATTTTCGAAATCCGCGCCGTCCAATTGACTAAGCTGACTTGATCTAATAAATTTAGGTTTTTGGGACGATTGCCCTGCCCTTCACCTGATCTATATTGCAGGCTACAATTTTCAAAGCATGGAAGCGCAAACTTTACTAGCCGCCAAATTATTGCGCGTTATTACTTTACTTCCAGAACTACAGTACGGTATAAAATGTTGCTTTCGATGTAGAAGTAACATAAAGTACTCACTTTCTTGAAATTATGTTCATTGGTTTCTCCAGCAAAATCTTGAATTTTTGAGTCTTTGATGACTCTGTGTTGGGTTTTCTGTCCCCCTCTCTTATTACGTTATTTTATGCTTCCGTTATGGTGCTTTTCCTTTCAGATTTCTGTTACGTTCGACAGTCTTGGTATTATCCATAATGGGATTTATCCTGGTGCACTCCGAGTACATGACTGGTATTGGCAGAGCTTTAAAAGACCAAGTTCTTTTTGGACATGCGTTTCGAAATTTGACAATAATCAATGCTGTCGAATGTTTCATGTTTTGTCAACAAGAACGTATTTGTAAAGCATTTCAAATGTGTCGTAAGAACAAAGACTGTCAATTGTTGTCATCTAATCAATTCCAATCACCTTCAGCATTCGTCACCATGATAGGATGTACTTATTATGATACACAGGTGCTGCGAAATTGGTCGCATTGTTATTATTACCATCACCATTATCACCACCATCGTCACTACAACCATGATCATTAGGGCGGCCACTATATTATCACCACCATTATTATGAGGTATTGTTATAAGCGCTACAATAAGCATTACCACCATTAGTTACCATCATCAGGCCACAAGTTTATACATCAGCTGTAATTCTTCATTGCTCCACCATTCTACCCTCAGTACCATCATGATCATCATCGTTAGTATTATCACCATTAGAGAGGTTCAAATTTGACTTCCACTACCGCTTCCACCACCTCTCACCGACTTATTACGCATCTGATTGGTTATCGGACATCAAATTCCTTTGATTGGTTAATGGTCTCGTAATGGTAGTGGAAGTCAAATTTGAATTGTTGACAACTACCACTACTTTATTATCAATTTCATCTTCGTTTGCGTTATTGTGTTACACCATTTTTTAAAATATTTTTCAGTCTGTCAACACTCAAATGTCAAGCAGAAAATCCAGTTGTGCCATGGAATATTGCCAAAATGGAGGAACAGCGATAACCATCTCCGAATGGGACAAATCGCGTCAAAGATGCATCTGTGTGCCTGGTTATACTGGACGTTACTGTCAGCATGTGGTCAAATCTTGTCGTCGTTACAGCAACAGTCGGACTTCTGGACAGTACAAAGTGTTTGATGATAACATGAATCTCTTTGATGTTTTCTGCGACTTTGATTCGAATTCAACCACGGCATGGACATTGGTCCAGTCATATCAACTTCAAAATTATCACAAATTCATGAAGTCGTTCAATCTGGACAACCCAATCAATGAAAACACTCCTCGCTGGGATTTCTACAGCCTTTCAAAATCCCGAATGGAATCGATTAGAAATGATTCGAGTAAATGGCGGATTACATGTGAATACGACACCGAAGGTGTTGTATATACTGACTACATGGAAGGCTGGAATGACATCATTGATATAATGACGTATGAGCAATTCAGTCCAAGCTTCGTTTGTTCACTTGATAAACACAAGATTGACTACGTGGACGTCCGTGGACAGAACTGCAGGAATTGTACCGTTCCTATTATTATCATGGGACAAATCGCGTCAAAGATGCATCTGTGTGCCTGGTTATACTGGACGTTACTGTCAGCATGTGGTCAAATCTTGTCGTCGTTACAGCAACAGTCGGACTTCTGGACAGTACAAAGTGTTTGATGATAACATGAATCTCTTTGATGTTTTCTGCGACTTTGATTCGAATTCAACCACGGCATGGACATTGGTCCAGTCATATCAACTTCAAAATTATCACAAATTCATGAAGTCGTTCAATCTGGACAACCCAATCAATGAAAACACTCCTCGCTGGGATTTCTACAGCCTTTCAAAATCCCGAATGGAATCGATTAGAAATGATTCGAGTAAATGGCGGATTACATGTGAATACGACACCGAAGGTGTTGTATATACTGACTACATGGAAGGCTGGAATGACATCATTGATATAATGACGTATGAGCAATTCAGTCCAAGCTTCGTTTGTTCACTTGATAAACACAAGATTGACTACGTGGACGTCCGTGGACAGAACTGCAGGAATTGTACCGTTCCTATTATTCAGGCTCCATATAATCCTTTACATTTGGATACATATTTCTCTATGTGCGATTTCAAGCCAACAAAAAGTTTATATTGTGACAGTGCTGGTGAAGACAATTTTGGAAGATATTTATGTACAAATCCAAATCATCGTTGCTCCTCCTTCCCAACAGCAACAACTCAAACTTGGTTTGGGAGTCCTTGACTTTTATACATACCTTCACGTTGTTTACATTTAGCAACGTCAGTAAAATTTTGACTTTGGTGTAATAGAATGAAAAAGGGACTATAACGTGAAGTATAAAAGATGTATAAACTGTAAACATTCGTGGGCTTGTGCATGACAGTTTTACTCGTCCAGTCCTTTTGATGTCATTCAAAACTTGGAATTTGAATTTTTCAGTTTGTAAATTTAATTTTATATCATTTCTTGTGCATATAGGATTAAAGACAATAAAGCTTTCTATGATTAATATTTATTGACCGCAACCTTCTTCAACAGTTGTTAACTGGCCCTGTTGGTCATTTTAATGACCATGCAAATTCTATAAAAAATAGGTAAAACAATCAAACGTTTATTATATACAGCAAGAACTAAAGATAACTTAGATAAGTTGAGGAAAATACAAATTGTCTCGCCTAAGAAAATAGTAGCCTGTGTAAAATTTATACAAGGCGTGGTGTAATATAATTGGAAATATGTTAAATAAAATGTGCAAAGATGTGCGATAGAATAAGTTGTAGTTGAGTTTCACAGAGTAATTGGTTTTAAGATGGAGTGTAAGTTTGTGATCTCGTCTTACTGTATGTCACAAATCTACCAACACAGAAACGTAGAATACGTATAAAAAATTAATTAAATCTGTCATTGGTTCCATAGAAATGGATGACCACAGTTTACATATAGTGATTACTTTACGTTTTTATCACTATTTTTCAATTATAACATGAATGATTAAATCTAAATCAATTGACCACTTGCGTAATAGACTAAATTTTGATCTAGACAAAAATTTCATCACACTAGCTTGAAAGAGCATCACAAAATTAGAAATATTCCAAAGTCTCGTTGCGAAATGTTGTAAAATGCGGATTATATTATCCAATCCCAGCGGGCAAAATGACGTTTATCCAACGTTGAATCAACGTTGGAAATGACCTTCCAGACGTTGGATAGACGTTGAAAAAGGGTTGACTATGCAAATTGGATCGACGTTACTGTTTCGACGTTGAAACAACGTTGAAATTAGGTTGCCAATCTCGTCAACCATAAATCAACGTTGAATCCACGTTAAAACAACGTTGAGATTGGTTCACAAATCGACGTCGTACATTTAACCATGAATGAACGTTAATTCAACGTCTGTTGGCTGCTGTTGAACCAATGTTTGTAAAACAACGTCAGAGCAACGTAGATATTAGGTTGTCGACGTCGCAACCTTTTTTCTACCAAATTTCAACGTTGAAATAACGTCGTGTGCCCGGTGGGATACCCTTTGGGGCTGTCAATTTCCCGTTTGTAATCTAAAATGACTGAAAATTGCAAACTTCGCTATAGGCTATATTATCCGCATTTTACACCGACATTTCGCAACGAAATTTTGGAATATTACTACTTTTGTGATGCTCTTTCAAGCTGCGATTTGTCTAGACTTGTTTAGATCAAAATTTAGTCTATTACCGCAAATGGTCAATTTAACACTTCTGCAGTCACTGAGTCACACTATATTAGATTGGATTTTTATGTATATTTATTCCGACATCAATTAGTGTTCGCTTTTTAAAATACAGTAGATTTCCTGTTTGCAGAAACATTAACGTTTGCATTCGCTTATCCTCAATGAAATATTGAAAATTCAAATTCCACAATGTGTGGCAGTGTGCTTATTATAAAATGAACAGGATAACATGAATGTTGTTCGAATGATTGAATGGAGATAAAAAAAAAACAATGTAACGACACTGGTTCCATTTAGTCGTAATATATGTCGATATATTTCTACGATCGGACTGATTTGCATACAGGAAACGAAAGACGAGATATAAACACCGCATAAAAAGAAAGTTCCTCCCTAAATATATAATCATAAGTTCTAAATAAACGATTACCTGATAATTACACCTCGGCACTACTTAGACCTATGGTAATTTGCTTAATACTGTTTGAAGAATGGGGTCATTCGTGCTTTAAAGAATAACTTAGCTTCCATTGATTACAAAAATACCCAATTTCAAATTTAACGAAATGACTTGATTTAAATTTCACAACGTACAACAGTAAATTGTTTCATCAATGATTTAACAATGGGTGTAACCACCACACTTCTCGACTGAGACTTTTTGGTACCAGCAAAAGCGATCTGTCTATCGTCGGTTCGACGAATACAGCACTCTGGCTGACTTGGCCCAATTGTTCCAGGAGGAATGGATGGCTATATCTTACTGAGTCGATGCCTTCATCAGGTGATCGAGAAGCGTGGTGGTTACACCATTAAATCATTGATGAAACATTACTGTTGTTGTAAAATTTAAAGTCATTCTAGTTAATTTTGAAATTGGGTATTTTGTATTCAATGGAGGCCAAGTCATTCTTTTAAGCATGAATGACCCCAATCTTCACACAGATTAAGCAAACTATCATGCATAAGTCTAATTAGCGCTAGGTTTGATTATCAGGTAATCATTTATTTAGAACTTATGATAATATATTTAGGGGGGGGGACTTTTTGTGTGGTGTTTAGATCCAGACTATTTCACATCGTCGCCGAACATGGCTTGGTCATGACAGTTACGACCACATGGAAACCAGGTTTAACGTTTCATAGAATAATGATTTCCTGTAGGTGACTCCATCTGTTTTCAAAATGAACTCCTTTTCATTATCCTTAATTATTAGTCGATTCACTTTCTGGACAAATGTTAACAAGGATTTTGGACTATGATAGTTGGTATGATCGTTACCTTAATACTGTGACAGTGCATCACTAATGACATTACTTTATAGCTGATATGGCAATACGTCACCAGCAAATATGTCACATGTGTGAGTGGCAACAAATCTGCATGTTTGCGCATGCTCTCAGTACAGTTTGTGAAGCACTACAGGAAATTTAACGAGCATGTATTTCAAAATGGCTACAAATTAACACCAAACTTGCAGAGGAACGTTTAAGTCCTAGACCACATACCCTGGGTGCCAGAGCCTCTTCGGATAGAAGTGAGGACACGACAAGGAGGCTCTGGTCACACAAGTATCCAGCCTCACTTTGATGAGTTCAATATTTGAACTCTGTTTGTGATTGGTTTAAATTTATGTGAGTCTTTTCATTGGTTAACCGACGCTCATCGGTTAACAAATGAAAAGATTCACATAAATTTAGACCAATCACATACAGAGTTCAAATATTGAACTCACCAAAGTGAGGCTGGATGCTCGTGTGACCAGAGCCTCCTCGTCGTGTCCTTTATCACAGGAGGCTCTGGCACCCATGGTATAGGCCACATGGACCAAAACCTAATCGCAGGTCGAAGCTGATTATATATTGAAATAGCATGATTCTCACTCTTGATAAGGCTAATACATACAAAGACCAGGTTACTTTTTCCTGGGACTTTCAGCGAGGGATAAATTGATACAATGAGGCGCTAAAAAGTGAACAATATCCAATATAGTATAACTCAGGAGTGCCTACAAATTACTTCAAATCAATATCAACTATATTTTAATATTTACGTACTTAACGAGCTATATAACGTTCTCAAAATGTTCGTTCAATAAATCAATTTTTACCGAATCATTAGACCATGCGGAATCATTAAGGCCCGTTTACACTTGCATTTTTTGCTGTGATTTCTGGTGCGATTGAACGAGTAAATAAGTTGTGAATGTTCTGAGTCATGTCTCACTGATTAACCTCATCTGAACATTCATAACTCATCCACTTGTTCGGCATCAATCAGACGAAGAGCAGCAGCACCTAAAATCGCAGCAGAGATTGCAAGTGTAAACGGGCCTTTAAACTAATAACTATAAAAACAGAGAAACATACCTAATCTAAAATGTTTAGTAGTGTTAAAAAGTCATTATTTCATGTTCAAAATGTTAAAACCTACGCAACAATTAAAGTTTCAACTGTTCCATGAAGTCTGCTGGCGTTTTCCAAAGCTCTTTCTGATTGTTCTGTACCAAAGGCATCAGCTGGGACAATAGATCCTGGTTGTTGGTTCGGATAGCGAGTGGTCAAATAATAATTACTAACAACAATGGCCATGTCGGTTATTTCAGCAGGTGAACCTCTTAGTCCACATACATGACACGCCAAAGAGTAAACATCGTGAGTGTGTAGTTGATCATCAGTTAGACCACACTTCGCGTACAATGCTGCTTTTAAACTCTTTTCGACCACTTGGTGGCTCAAGAAACACACCAAAGCATCAAACGACTGGGATGGGGAGGAAAACAAAAGCTGCGCAGCTTCTAGATCGCGTTGGGCTTGTTTCAACCAACGTCTAGCTTCGGATAAATCGGGATAAGTATAATCGGATGTTGATCGCGTTGAACCACCAGAATTTGCTCTAAAGTTGCTGTATGTATCTCTCTCCCGTCTAGCCCGGCGATTCCAACTGGTGAACATCGTACTAAACTTACAGCTATCATCAATATTAGATTCTTCAGCTTCCATTCGTTTGATCTCGCTTAGCAGAAACTTAAACATTTCTTCGGCAAATGGAACATTATCTGGATTCTTGTCGGGATGCCATCGAAGGTATAGACGTCGGATGACTTTTCGACGGAGCTTTTGTGGTAATCGCCATGCCTTGAGCAGGGCTTCCAAAATTTCTCGTTTACCGTCATCAAGACTGCTTGGCATGATAGTGGGATCACCTGTGAATTGTATTAGATCAGTAGTGTGGTTCTCCGCAGCATCATTTTGGACAAACTTGTACAAATCGACGACACTGACTTTCTTACGTGCATTACCCAGATCTATCAAATACTCTGCAGTGAAATCATACGAACCGTCACTTTCAGTTTCGTCAGTGCGAGACATCACTTTCGCTAAAATAAATTTCATGATCATGAATCCATCCTCTGTTGCTTCTGCCATCTCATCTGTTTCGTTAGTCTCTACACCATAAGCCACAATCTCTCCTTCATGGAAAATAAACAACGGATTTTGTTGGAGGAGATAATGAAACACAACAGGAACTTCTCCACCAATCTTGAGTTCTTCTTCGGAAAAGTCCTCAGCTATGTTAAATTGATCTAAGATATTGGGAAGCTGTGATGGTGATTTACACAATAACATGCTTGAAATAACTGGTAGACAGGTCACGTCCAAAATCCCGCGTGTAATCTTATCAATGCAGTATGAGAGAAAAATCGGTTGGGTTTCGGAAGTGGTACGCTTGATGAAAAGTTTCCACGAACTGTTGTTTACGTCAGCGTAGCATTGACGTGGGATGGAGCTGTTCTCGAGTGGCTGTTCTGTTTCAGTGTCAACAAGATGTACGTTGATGTTACGCATACAAATGATTTCTAACTTATTTGTTCCAAATACAGATAATCGATCTTGCTCATCTTCAGTAAGCTCGGTGCATTTTTTTGTGTGTTTTAAAAGTCGTATAATGCACGACTTAAATTCAGGAGATTGTATGATGAGTATATATCTTTTAATAAACTCGCAAGGACAATCTTCTTGACACGAAGAACATTTGTCTTTGACACACTTTGGATCCAATACCTTTTTGAACAAATTATCCATTAACTTAGGTCGTAAATGTCGCGGAAGGGCGTTTAGATATTCTTCTTCCTTTTCCCTCCGCAAATCACATTTTTCTAATGGGAGCAAAATTTTCAGATTTGCACGACTGGCCAGAGCATTTCGAAAACTGGGAGCGATCTTGAAGATTAAATCACTTGACTTCACAAGAAATTCCCTTTCGCTTGGTAGAAACAGTTCCCTTAGGTCACTTATTGTTGTTTGGTTCACAGCTTGACTTTCACTAAGCAAGCTCCGAAAGAGTTCTCTCATCGCCGCTTTAGCTTTTTCGAAAAGATTAGGATTCATTTTCGTGTTGCTACATTTCTCTCTAATAGCTTGCAAGACATTGGCAAATTGAAGGGAGGTGAACTTCTCCGTCGCACCAAGTCGCTTCATCAAATGCTCGTAAGCGCAATACCTTCGAGGAACGGGATACAAAAACGGGATAAAGGAACAATCATTTTGACTTCCAAAGGATAATTTATCACCTGCGACCACGACTTTTCCTTCTTCTACTAAGACACATGGAATTCTACTTAAACGTAAACCAATGCTTTGGCATTCAGGACTACAATAATCTGAAATATTTTTGTTTTCGCCGCAGTCTAATTCCGTATTTAAACCTTTATAAATGGATTCCATAATCTTCTTCAACAAAGCTGGTTGTGGCAATACTTCGTCTCTCCTACATATCTCTGCAAGTGTGCACGAGAGGTTTTGCAGGTGACTAACAATGCTCTCAACGGACGGTACCTCTTGAACTCCTATGTAATGAAGCAATTCCTCACCAGGCTGTGCCCATGATGGAAGAAGTTGAGTGCTTGTCCATGTAATAACGTGGTATTCCCAAGGAACAGCATCAAAAAACTGCACAAAAGGTGGTTCATCTGCTGCGGTATTGCACTGGAACTGCTTGTGTAATGAGAGAAGATTCGATTCCACTTTTTCGGATGCGATAAATCTAATACTTGAAAGGGAACACAAGAAATCTTCACTTCGGAGATGTTCGTTGTAGAATAGATAACTAACAAGTGCCTTTGATTTCGCCACATTTGCTGTGGGATCGAGAGATCCACATACTGCAACTTCTTCACAAAATTCCAGGAATTGATTTTCTTCCACTCTTGTTTTCATCCCAATTTCAGACAAAAACTCCAGCCATTCAGGACGTTGGAAGGGAGGAGGTGGAAAATGGTCAGAATTATCTTCAAGCATTATTTGAAAGACTTCATTACGTGGGTCGTGAAATTCTCGGGCATAATGGAGAATATCATCTTCACCTGGTATACACAAGCTTCCAATTAAAAATTCTACGAATACTTTTCGCTTTGAGCTCCCTACGAGGAGTAACGGCACGACGTCGTCCTTTATGTGTGTGAGATATGAAATCTGGTTTTCCCGATTAAAAATTTCAAAACGCGGAATAATATATTTCTTATAAAACTCAGTAAAGCTAAGTTCCACTCCGACACCAAGCCATTTGTAAAGTCGATGAAGAGCAGCTGCAGAGACTGGATCAAGAAACAGACATGTTGTATGAAACTGAAGTTTTACAATTTCTGCTGTTGGAACACCGTGTGGAATTACAGCATAATATGCATACTCTGATAAACTGAAATGTGCGCCATCTATACCCATGTAAAATGGCAATTTCTTAAGGATAGTGGCGTCCTGTTCTGTCAGATTGTCAAAATCATCTTGAACAAAACTTAACACTGTGCGCAAATCATCGGTGGTCAACTTCGAGGTATCAAGAGAACCCGTTCTTCTCATGAAATCAAGTACTTGAAGAACATCTCGGACATTGTGAGGTTGCGCTACATGCGGATCGGTGACATGACTATTGTCATCTGTAGGTGATGCTAGGTTGGGTGTACCAAATATAGGCAAAATTTTACCAAGTGTGGATGAAAAAAACCCGCCAGTTGGATTGGTTGATTTCTTTACTGTGATTTCTGTGTTTAATATGGGGCAATTCAACTTTTCCAAAATTTCACGAATACGCTTTCCTTGCGCGGCATCTGTACTGCGGTGAGTCGCATCAAGCACTGTCTTGCCGTTATTGATCGTTACTAATTTGTCACTGGTTGTGGGAATAATTGGCCAGATACCCAGAACTGACAAGGACACTTCAGTAGTATTATTTAACTTAGGAATAGCGTAGCTTTGCAAGAAGTACCAAAGGCGCTGGAACCACTTTCTTGACAACGGGCCATTCTGTGGAAATATCCAGGGAAGATGTTGAGATGTGCCTCTCATGTACTCAGGAAAGATGCCAGGAAAGTGTTGGTTCAATGCCTGGACGGTAAACCGCTGCATTACCCGTTTTTCCGGAAGATTGTCGATATCAGGTAGGCTGTATACAAGATCAGTGTGGACAAATAAATTTGCGTTTTCTGGAAAGAGATCGCTGAATTTGGAACGGTAAACAGGGTTATTCGCATCAAAAACTTTCAACTGACCATCTGCAGTTAATAAAATTGGAAGCCCTTCCAGGAGGTTTGGGAACTGCTCTTCCATTTTGCAATAGTCAATGAGCACTTTAAGGTCAAACAATTCTCTCACATTCGTTTTCTTCAGGTGTATTGGAAGGTTTCCAACCTGACAATTTGATGTAGGAACAGAAAAGCTTCTAATGAAATTAATTACACTCATCGGCGCCAGAACATTACACGCTATTTCAGCTTGTTTAAACCAATAGTACACCATGGTTGGGGAATAAAGCAAAAGTGGGAGATGCATTCGAAGCAGAAGCTTGAATAGTCGATCTTCATCCAGTTTCGTTTGACCTTTGCCTTCGAGGAAATATGCATCTTTTACCGAAAGCCAGGAACGAACTTGGTGAATAACATCATTTGAGGATTCATTCAGTGAGGTGTTCATCTCGACGAGTTTATCATCTGCAACAACAACAGGTAAAACCTCCAGATTATTGGAACCCAAGTAACGATACACTTCTAGAGCCAAAATATTCCAGGGAGAATCTTTCGATGGAGTCGGGAAGAGTTGGTGGTACCATAAAAGCCCGCGCTGAACGTCTACGTTGTTCGCAAACGTGCACTTGCAGTTGTCTTTTACCATTCCTTGGGAGAAAGGTACATATTTTCGCGCCTCGTAAATTAATGTGGCATATCCAGGAGCAAGAACGCTCATTTTCATAAAGTTGTTCCACTTAGTGAGCGGGCTGCTTTGATCAGTATCATTCCAAAGGTTTCTTCGGGAAGAATCAAGAGCAAAATGTCCGTTGACATGGACAGGTAAACCTGTGTAAACAGGAAGTGGCAGGAAACAATAGGCAACATGTTGAGGTTTGTATTCAGAACTTGAACGTTGTGGGGAAACTAGGGCAGCAATTCCACCGCGTGGAAAGAGACCGAACTGATGCCCATCAGGTATGGAGTCTTTTGACGCTTGGGATGATGTTCCACAACACTGATGAACGAGCCACGTTTCCACAGCTTTATCGGAATTCGAAATGGTCAATGGGTAAGTAACATTATGCCATGCAACATCACGAGTGGGAAGATGTTTGCTTCCTTTCACAATACGGGATAGCTCACGGCATTTTTCATCACTTTCTTTACTTAAATCAGCAACTACACTGTACTCTTCTTTCAGTTGACCATCCTTATCAACTTCAGATAATGAAATTTTCCTCACGTGATTAAGAAAAAGCAACATCTTCTTTGATTCGTCTTTGAACTTGCTAAGAAGCTCATTCATTTTGTAGTTTCCTACGAATATACCAGATATGAGGGACTCGCGAGATCTTTCCATTGTTCGTAATGGAAGACGAAACATTGTAGCTCCTTTCAGGTTGAAATACTCTCCAAGGTAGCCAAGGAAAATATCTTTGAAATCCTCTTTAAATTCTTCGTCAATTGGTTGAAACTGTTCACCAGGGGAATCAGGCCTTGCGTCTGGGGCATATCGGCAGTGAGGGTCGAGGAAACATAAAGTATCTTCGTTGGACAGAAAACTCGGGCAATCTGTTAAATGGTATACTGCGTTGAATCCAATTCCATACTGACCTGTCTTCTCCGGATCATCAGTTTTGCTACCAATACCGAGTTTCTGTATTCCTTCAAGATCATCTTGGGTGAATGGCTTGTTATTGTAAACGCAAAGGGCAGGTCCTTGAACTTCTTCAGCGTGATTCTGAATAACCTTTTCGTGCGGAAGCTTTCTTGTGTCGTAAATAAAGTGAATTTCGGTTGCTCCAGCATCGTCAGCGTTTTGAACAAGTTCTTTCAAGATTCCTGAATCACAGGGGTATGACTTGAGAATGTTCTTTAACCTGTCAGTGAGCTTTTCGTGTTGACCAAATGGGATTCCTATTGTGCTTGAGTATTTCTTTAGTCGGCGATTCTGTAGCGACTTTGCTCCCAAATCTAGTGCCAGTTGAGGAGGAATGTCCCGATGCACATAACGGGCATCACCACGATCTTTAAGCCAAAACGTGAGATTTATGGTAAGCTCTCCGCTCATACACAACACGTTGTTGCAGTCTGGTAAGGGAATTTGACCAACTTGGGACGCTTCAATTTCTGCATCCTTCAAAGCCGTTGCAAAACACACAGTGAGTTTGATTTCATCATTATTCAATGGGCGACCTGTCTTCGTCTCCTTAAGAGATTTTAGTGCGTCGATAAAATCCACGTGTGAAAATGTTTGCTTGACACCTGCCATGTTAAAAAGTCTGCTGTAGTTATCACGGTATTCAAGCGGCAAGCTGTAAAGATAGGGTGCACCGTTTTCATTCCAGTAGTAAGCAACTTTTCTTGTTGGTATGAAATTGCCGTGGATAAATACCCAAGGTCTTTGGCTTAATTCCTTTAACAGCTGTTCTCCTTCTGACTTGCCTTGATTCTGGTTGTGCACACTCATTCTCTGACTTTCGTGCCCAAGGTGGTACGCTTTCGTAATCAAATTATCAAAGAACTTATAAACTCTTTTACAAACGGCTTCCAGCGATTTTCGTTTCTCAGAACTGACATTGACAACGCTAATCGCTGCATCAAGTTGTCGAATAACTTGCTGTACTTTGGGATGACGGTTAGAAAATCCCAACAAATCTTTAACTTGATGCCCAAGTTTACCACATCCAGTTTCTTCTGAATCATCTACGATTACACAGCTTGAACCAACTAGATTCTTTTCACTTGAAAGGAAAACATCGTTTGGTGCAAATAATTGTTGTTTTTTTAATTTTGATCCTTCCCACTGTAGTTCATAACCATCAGGACATGTTGGAATAAAAGGTAAAAACTCTATACTTCGGAGATCCGACATGCCGCTGGGATCTGGCTTTGAGAGTTTTCCGATGTTTTCCTTAAGATATTTGACCAGATTTCTCGTTCTTTCCAAAGCCTTGTATCCACTGGTTGCCGCAACAATCTTCACAGACCTCGCTCGATCACATATTTCAGACCAGGAAATTCGCTCGTTAACCATTCCTAGCTCTTCCAAGGCGTAAAGACGGTTATTTTTCTGAAAACAGTCCCCAACAGGAATGCGATGATCTTCAGGTGAAAAAAGACATGCTGCAGGTCCTTTTGGATTGATAAGTCTAGATGGCTTAGATAGATGGTTACCATCTTGTGAGCACGTTACACATGGGTAATCATTCATCAGTGTTGCAAACTCACTTCGTCTACTCGGTATGCAATCCAAAATGTAGCAGATGATTCGATCTCGAACATTACTGGGAATAGTGTGAATATTTGGCAAAAACAATTTCTGAAGAAACGTTTTCAAGTCCAATGTGTTCCGACGTACAGCTTTCTTTTGTCCTGCTTTAATCATTGAAGACAAAATTTGAGGTGGAATATCAAATACGTGGTTGTTCAATCTTTTTAAAGCACCACGAACTTCTGGAACATTTCGCAGCTCATCATCTAATATGTAACCTTCATTTATTGATAGCCATTTACCATCACTGTAGAAAAGAGGCAAGGCATTTGACACTATGCTCTTATACACACTTTCGACCAAACCTCCCCAAGTGGCGGACTGAAGTTTGTCATAGACAGGCCATAACGCACAGAAAGCATAATCTTGTGTTTGAAGCGTTTTCAGGTCGTTTAACAGCTGCAGGTAAGCACTACACAAAGCATCTTTAAGTAAAGACTCATTCCATCGAACTTCAATTTCCTGATGTTGGTGTGAGGTTGTTCGTTCCCAGATTCCTCGGCGATTTGATGTGACTGCAAAGTAGCCGTTAACATGAATCGGCAATCCTGTCGAGATGGACAATGGCAGAAAGCAGAATGCTTCTCCATTAACTGCGTCAACCTTTACAAACGATTTCAATGTAGATCCATTACTTGATACAGAATTGAGACGCGCTGCAGCTCCTCCACATGGCAAGAGACCACGACAACGACCTTCGCCAGAAGCTAATGAAACTGAGGTATCTGTCCCTCCACAAGATGCAACGAGCCAGGTTTCACGAGTTTCTGACTTGAACTGATTGCATATAAGGTTGGATTGAGTCTCTTTCGTAATGATCTCAAAAAGCTCGCATCGAGAAGGAGTTACCAGCTGGGTGATAGAGGCTGCCAACATGCGTCGCCACCAGCTTGAACATTCTTCAATAAACGGATGCTTAGAAGAGGAAGGGTCACTGGATCTTTTAATCTTTGGTGATTGTTTCGAAACAGATAACAGCAATCTCATATCGCTTGGATCAGAACCATTCTCAATCTCGTATAATTCTACTTGCGTAACATGTTGGGTAAAAAGTAATAGAAGCGATGAGCATTCTTTAAAACTACTGATAATTTGTTTCACTTTCTCTTTGTTGTAAACACTCTGACAAATATCACTCTTTTTAGCTTCACCAGACGTACGGAATGGAAATCGAAATAAGGTTCCATCAAAGTTAAAATTCGTTGCACCTGTATTCTGTATGCTACAACCAAATACACCGTGGTACGGTTGAAACTGATCTTCAAAGGCCGAGAGAGGACGTGGATTAGAAGCAAGATCGATACGAATACCAGGGCGTGATTTGTTCTGGATGTGGTTCTCAATGTGATTGACATTAGGGTCAAAGAGCACGAAATATTTACGGCTGACAAAACTTGGAACATCAGTTAAATGATAAACTGCGTTAAAACCAAGTCCAAAGCGACCGATCTTTCCGACTTCATCCACTTTAGTAGCACCAGCTAATTTGTTAATATTTTGAAAATCGTGCTCCGAAAACTCTTCGTTGTTGTATGCCCAAAGTGCCGGTCCCTGACTTGCTGCCATATCTGGGGACAAAAGCTTTTCTGTTGGACCATTTCTCCAATCTACAAGAAAACGAACTACACTAGCACGGGCGTCGTCAGCGTTCTGGATTAATTCCTTGAAAATCCCTCCCTCTGTGTATTCTCGTAGGACGGTCTTTATTCGATTCGTTATTGATTCGTAGGGCCCAGTCTGTTCAAAGGCAAAACCCAGTGTTTCTGCAGACAGAAGGCAAGTGCTTAATGCCGGAACACCAAGGAGCCTTGCAACTTTGGTGGAGACGGAATCATGTATAATTTGGTAATTACCAGGGATATCGAATTCAGATCCACCTTTCCGCAACCATTCTCTATCACAATAGGTACATTTCTTGCAAGGTGCTAAAATCAAAACATTACTCTCACTCTGTACAGGAACAAACACCTTTTCTTGCAGATGTTCTGGCAAAATCCTTCCATCTTTAACTACCCACTGTAGAATAGCACGACAAATTGTCAAATCTTGACTAACTTCGGTTGAAGTATGTTGGGTAGTGTTGGCGTGTTTCTTCCGAATGCTGTCTAAAACTCCTAGAATGTCCTCATCTGAAAACGTTCTGCAGACACCATGTTGTAAAAAGAACTTGATCAATGTTTGGTTTGAACGAAATTCTTTTGCAAGAAGAAATAGTTGAGGACGGAGATCAATTGCAAAATCTGTTGTCAGAGCCACGTTTCTGGGAGGACAAAATCCATTTCCATGCCATATCCAGTCCGTGAGAGATGCCCTTGCAACAGCACTAGATATATCGCGAGGCTGGAATTTGGAAAGATAGCAGTATATTTGAACAAGCATTTCCTCAAATTTAGCCACTTCAATGCCAGGACTGTTTTTCTGAGTTTTCCAACTTGCTATAGCAGTTTGTAATTGCTTGATGACGTCAGGCAATAGCGGATCACGCTTGAAGCCAAATACCTGTTGAAGCTCGCTGTTTATATATATAGAAAAAGTGGGCATTGAAGAACCGATAAGTAGAGCTTTCGATAAACTACGGACTTCAGACGGTAGTAACAATGCTGGCGTGTTAAACCATTGTACGAAATTTGGATAATTTGGAGGTGGTTTCGTTGAACAGGGAATCCATTTTAGCCTAAGTAGGTCTTCTTTCAAAGTGGAATCACTAGAGTAGTGGTTCAAATATGTTGGATTATCGTTTAGTATTGTAAGCAACGCACTGACTTTCTTGGTGATTAGAGGAGACGATTGAGCAGAAGATGCAATGATTTTAACAAATCTGAGGAGATCACTAGCCGTAAGTGTTTCTTTCGTCTTAAGACCAAGATATTTAAGCTTTGTAATTAAGTCAGGAGTAGCGTAAATTCCAGTCGGAAATACATCTTTCTCGCCATTCAAAATATCATGAAGTACGCCATCATTTGGATCGTACAGTTCAAGTGCTACTTTTCTTGTACCGCTCTGCGTGGAAACAAAAGAAAGATTTTTCATCTCGCTAACAAATCTTTCACTTTGAGATTGTAATATTGTAATTTTCTCGAGGATCCACTGCATAAGTATGGTAATCTGTTGATTATTGTATCGATTGGCTGAAATATCAGGAAAAACGTATTGCATTAACATATCAGCGGAAGAGAGAAATTGAATATTAAGCAGAACCAAGAGCTTCTGAACGTAGGAATCAGTGGATAAAATAATTACACAATCCCTTGATAACATGAAATTTTGTGGAAGGTTAAGATTTGCAGACACAGCTTTGAGTTGTTGAGCAGCAGTGGCGGTACCATGAAGCGTCTCAAATAACGGAAGTTGTAGCAACAGATCTCTCTGAGAACTAGAGATTGGGTTGGGTAAACTGGAGAAAAATTCATGGAATACTGTACGGTTTTGTGACGTCAAGATCTTTGCTGCTTGTAGGATTACAACTGTCGTGGAAATTCCACTTAGCACGCATAACACACCAGACGGAGTTGGCGGGGCAACGTAGGTGTTAATATCTTTGTGGGAACAAATGTAGTTTGGCAGACCTGTAAGGACAGTGCAACCACAGGCTGAAAGTAGATCACGCACTTGCGCAGGAAGATTAGTATACATGCCTTCTGAACCAAAGATGAACTTAGAATTTTTCGACAAAATACCAAGTCGGTTACCGATTGGCAAAAGGGGGATGCCTTCAAAATGTGCTAATGAGGTTGGAAATGATGCGTTAATCCAAGTCCATGTTGATTCAAGCCAACTTTGAGGTGGTTGGTTAGACGTGCCAGGCTTCCACGATACTTTATCTCTGTTACCCTTGAACCATTTGGGTGGCAAACTAGCGCGAATGTTCTGAATGACAATCTGACTTGTTAATCGAACCAATTGAGTCGAATGTTTTGCATTGTTCTTGGTCGTTGCTATACCATAAAGTTTCCTTTTGACATCTTCTTGAATGCTTTCGTCAAGAAACCGACCAGACATATTGGGGAGCAACTTTGCCGTACAGTTTCCACTTGACACAAACACTGACGCTTTTGGATTTGACGAATGCTTGTGCTTGCAAAACGTGATGAAATTCGCGTTAGCTAAGGGTAAGAGAAGAATACCTGCAAGTTCTGTCGTATTGCCATCGCTCAGTACATAAGTGAGTAGATTTAACTTCTGTTCACGTGATGTTATGGAAACACTAATTTCAGATTCCTTCAAAACACTTCTAACGATAGCTGGCGAGATAACTTTCCGGGCGGAAAAGGAGTTAATTATTTCCAGAACATGGGGAGGAAAATCTGTGATCACAGCATGCCGTTGGTAAAGAACTTTCAAAATTACGTCACGAGTTTCAGAACTTGTCCCAGACTGATGAAGAAGGTCAAGAATACCATTGCGTAAAGTAATCCAAGAATTGCCAGTGATCCTTAGAGCATAGAACACGGGTTGGTTGGACATTTGCTGCAACATGGGTTTCAAGATACATTTCCAATGACCTTGGACATTTTGCAAGGCTGGCATAGTTGAATATACAAGATGGCTTCTGTTGACCTCGCTGAGACCAGTGTTGGGTTGATCCGTAACTAAAACGTCTATTATCTTGCAATAAACGGTGCTAGCAATTTCTGATAACAGTAACGTGTTCCATTCAGCCGTTTCGTTGTTTTGGCATTCCATGCCAGGCCATGTAAGACCACGCCTGTTGTCAGTCAAACCAAAGTAGCCATGGATATGAACAGGTAGACCAGTGATGCAATCAACATCCGGTGGCAAGGGCAAGAAACAGAATATTCTACCATCGGTGATTGGTGTACATCCATCGTTGATAGGCACGGCTAATCCAATCCAAGGGAGCAAACAAAGCTGCGTACGCAATTGGGTGATACGTTTATTGTTCGAGCCAATTCGATTGACCACCAACCACTTCTTGCTATCCATTTGTTTGTTTGATGTTATATTGATGCCGATGATGAATTTGGATTCAACGACAGACGCTGTCTCTACAGCTGCAGACAACAATTTCTCCCGTTCCATTATTACTTGGTTTCGTGTGTCGTTTGATACCTCCACTTTAAAAGTACAGTCGAGGCGACCTTCGTTTGTACGTTTGAAAATACCAATGCTTTGTACGCTTTTAAGAAATAGAAGTATGATAGAGGCTTCTTGACGCAATGATTCAAATAAGTTGTTGATCATTGATTCGTTGTATACTGTTTTTGAAAGGTCTGATTCAGGAGTGATTCGTAATGGGAAACGAAACAATGTATTGTCATAAGATCTCGTGCTTGAGAGATCACATCCAAATATACCATGAAATGGAGCAAACTGGTCAAATAATTGAGGTTGTAGTAAACCATGTTTGATATTAAACTGTTGACCAGACTCACCTCGGCCAAAGTAAATTTCATGTGGATCTAAGAAAGCAACATTTGTGCCACTCACAATACCTGGAAGGTCTACAGGAAGTAAAAGAAAAAAAATGTTCAGTTTAGTATGGATGGGCACAGCATAAATTTTAAATTAACATACTTTCATTTAAGCTAAATACAGGGTTCATAAAATATCAAGCACTTTTCACCAAGAATGTTTTCACTCAGATTTGGTTTATTTTGATACTATTTTCACTCTAAATTTCTCTAATACTAGTTGAACAATACAAACAAATATTACTAAAGTATGAAGTGTTGTCAAAAGAACACATTTTTCCACGTGTGGACACGAAGCGCCCACAATTACGTCATTCAGAACATACGTACTTGAAATATAACAATAATCGACAGAGATTTCACTATAAACATAGGCGGTACAGGAGGAAAAAATTAGGGGGCTGACAAATATTTGTTCGATCTATTACAAAAACGCTTCCTTCATAACCTTCTCAAATTGTTTTTCGACCGGGGAGGGGGAAGACCTTGCCGATGGGTGACGGGCGTGCAGTGCCTCGCCGACGGCCAAACTGTTTCCTTACGTTACATAATTCTTATTTTTTCGACTATTTTAATACGACGTGTGCTTCCCTTTCATAATTTTCCCGATTTTTACGTTGGAAACTGAGATTTCTTTGAAATATAAAGCCTGCATGTATTTACTTAATGTTTAATAAAGCTTGTATTGTATTAGTTCCCCAGTTACGTTATTATTTACAATAGGGTTTGTACGCCCCCTGGAAATCCTGGAAAATCGTGGATGTTTAATTAGTCCTGGAAATTCCTTGCCGAAGTCCTCAAATTTCAAAGCGGCCTGAGAAAACCTAGGATAAATTCCTAACTTAAGTGTAAGATATGCTATTAAAGTATTAAACGTTCTGTTTAAATACGGTTGATTATTATATACAACTTTCTTGCGCATAGCATATCCGCGATCTTTCTAGCCAGTGCCATTACCGGTTAGAGATATTTATAGCCATAGGTGTAGGAGGTCGAGTAATTTACAAACCTCGCGTGCATGTGTACTTATTCTGCGTGGGTGATTATTCTGAATTACCTGTAATATGATAAACTGAGTTGAACCCAATACCAAACCGTCCAACTTTTAAAGGATCTTCTTTCTTGTTACTACGCATGAGGTTCTGAATACCATCCCAGTCTTCTTTTTCAAACACGGCATTATTGTAGCAGTATAGCGCAGGGCCCTGAAACTTGTCTAACTTCGGCGTGACAAGTGACTGTGTGCCATACTTTTTATCATCATAAAGAAATTTAATTTCTGTTGCTCCTGCATCATCAGCATTTTGAATCAATTCCTAGTCAAACAGATATAAGTAATATCTTCAGTTGTTTCCTAGTTACGTACTAGCTATTTTCAACAAGAGCGGGCTTGACCTTGTTATATCGGCAGGGCCGGATTAACCTTTCGCGGGGCCCGTGGCATTTTTTCCAGCGCGGGGCCCCTACAACCTCCCCCCCCCCCGGCGGGCCCGAATTCAGAATTTTCTGAAATCAGAAAGATTAAAAAATATCACCATGATGTGAAAAATTGCCTGTATATTAAAACAAGAACGTATGTACATCAATTTGAACTGTCATTCATTGGCGTAAAATAGGTAATTGGACAGGTACTGGTGTAAGCCTAAATAATGAGGACCAGTAGTCCAAAAATGGTTATCCGGCTTCATTTCTTTACTCCGACTCCTATGATAAACATGATGTACGCAAAAAACAAGGGAAAATACGATTAGATAGAAACTAAATACGTGAAATTTTTATGGGACACGATAAAAGGCGAGGATATAAGAGCGAGATATTGAATTTGAGTAGGAAAAGCAATAAACTCTGTCGTCTTCTGCAAACTATTCTTTCCGTATTTATAATTTTCTTGGGCGAAGATTTATTTGGTTGCAAGGGTGCCTTTTGGGCCTCGCCTTTTGATTTTTAAGGCCACTCGCTTACAGCTTTAAAGGCCTTGCTTTTTATTTCTGTCGGCCTCGCTTTTTGGAGTAACGACTAACGTTATTTTACTTTTGTGGCCTTGCGGCTTTTGACGCCCTTTTTTCGTCCATGCAGCCACGCGACAAAAAAATTAAAACTGAGTAAAGCGCTGGGCCCATAAAAGCGCGGGGCCCGCGAGCAGATGCCCCTTCTGCCATATGGTTAATCCGGCCCTGTATATCGGATATAGTACAAACTCAAGCCGAACTGAGACGAGAGTTTGTATATCCAATACAACACGGACGCGAATGTCAGTAAAATGGCTTGTGAAACGTCTTGATGAGAACATTCTTCAACAATTTAAAATAAATTAATGATATTTGGTGAGAAAACTGAGTGAACTTAAAGTTTATGTAAATCAGCATGATTTTGTATCAGGGTCATGATTTCTTTTGTTTTCTTCAGGAATATTAATGAGTTTCGCAATGGTTACATACGAAACCGTATTCATATTATATACCTTCAAAATCTGTCCACCATCCGGATATCTTACCAAAATACTCGCGATCAATTCAGTCAGCGGAGGACGTCGCTGACCAAAGGCGCTACCTGCGAAACATTAATATCAACATTTTATACAGCTTTCATTGTTAGACGTGCCACAAGACCGCCTCAGTCAGAGATTTCCCAACCACGCGCGCGAAATAAAAATGATGTCTTTGAAATGGACTTTGCGAAAGTCTATCACTTGTGCAGCGCTGGATAAACATTGATGAAATTCCTAAATTGGAAATTTAAGGGTGAAGGAGGGCGCAATTCTGTTTGCGCTCAGCAGTTAAAGTTTGAAGTTCAGCGTGATTTAAAAGATTTTCCTCTGTAAATATTATGCCCATGCACGAATCATTTTTATTTCAACTGGAAAATGTCAAATATTTGATCATTTCACAAAAGTATTTTACATGGCAAAGACCTAAATTTCGTCCTCAGTTTGTCCATGCAATTATTCATTTGCTCTAGCTATTCAGTCCAGACTTTAAAGTCCTGACTTTAATTAAAGGGAAGTGGCAATATAAATTTTTATTTTCTCATTTGAAAGAACTTTCGAAACTATATAACTTCTTTCACCGATTTTTCATATCTTGCTTAGTTCTTGAAATATTTTCACTTGAAGTAATGAGATGTCCCATATCTTCGATACATTTTTGATTACAGGGATTAACCATATAAAAGTATTCGTTGCTGACCAAATGTTGATTGGTAGTTCTTTTAAAGGTTTTGAGTGCAAAATGACTAGTGGTTGCGTAGATAAAAATATTGCGTGACCCCTGTTGTGACGTGACATGCATATCTACAAAAATTAAAGATGACGGACATTTCATTCCTTTCGATCAAAATATTTGCAGAAGTACAAGATATGAAAAAAACGATAAAAGAGTATTATATACAGTCTTAAAAGTTCTTTCAAATCAGAAAATAAAAAATATATTGCCATTTCTTTTTAAACACAAAGCGTACACTAACTAATGGATAATCGGATAAAGAATGAAACGGATAAATGCGGCCCCGTTTGACCTTCAATCTATTTCGAGGGACCCTGTATCCCATTATTCCCCAGAAGTGGTCATTCTATTATGCGTCTTAAAAAACGTATGAAAGGCACGAGAAATGTCTTGCGCATTGTGTGGCAACGTAAATTGTAAAGCGAATCTGGATATCCAGTAGGGACCAGGGGGATCTGGATAACCTGTCTTTATTTGTTTAAATATCCTGTACAAGTTCGTCTATTATTTGGTCAAGTATCCCTATTATGACAAAATTAATTACATCACCCCAGTATCCCATACCCCAAACTTTACCCATAAGTATCCCCATTCTTCAGTAAGCCCTTTTAGTATAAAGTTTGCATACCAATTACCTTATCGCGCGTTCTGATTGGCTAGTTGACCAGTAAATCTGACGCAATATTTACTAGCAGACTGGTAAATAATGGCTTTTCAAAAATAATGATTCGGCAAATTTGGTTTCAAAATCGACAAAATATTGAAAAAATCGTAAGAACTTGAAAGGTAGGATTCCTTTATTATTTTACTGTGTCAAACATTTTACTGTGTCGGACAATTTAAAACTTATTTAAAACTCCGAAAAATTCACTTCAAACACAGAAATAGCAAAAACTATCCCGAATGTTGGGAAAAACGATGCTGTGATATTCTCTTAAAACCATTTTCTTTTGTATTAGTCAGGCAGATAGGAGGAAAAACTCACCCAATCAGGGGACAATTCAATTTTGCTTATTTTTACGGCTGGTAAGTACATTTCTGTATGTTGGCATCGTTCAAATGTCTTGTAGGTTCCTGCCAACACGTTTTTCTTCGATTTTCTTATTAAACTTCTATATATATTGTTAAAAACGTGAAATTTCAGGGTCGTCTATAGAAAAAATAACTTGCAGCATTAGAAAGCTTACAAAAAACTGCATATAAGACATTTAAACGGTTACCTTATTCCAAAGTGTGAAAAATAGGCCAAAACGCGCATAAATCCTGGGCACTAGTCTGAAAATACGTTTTCAAAAGCTCATAACTCAAGAACTTGAAAAATGAAGGTAACCGTTTAAATGTCTTATATGTAATTTTTTGTAAGCTTTCTAATGCTGCAAGTTATTTTTTCTATAAATGAACCTGAAATTTCATGTTTTTAACAATATATAGGAGTTTAATAGGGAAATCGAAGAAAAACGTGTTGGCAGGAACCCACAAGACATTTGAACGATGTACTTAGATGATACTTACATACTACCAGCCTTAACAACTTTTTTCGCAGATACATGTACGAGTCAAAAACACGCGAAAATAAATTAAACAAAATGGCTCACAGTAGATTTGCTTGAAACATTAATAAACTTCGTTTAATCGTTTTATACGTTTCTGATATTATTGGATTCGGCTTTCGCATGACATCAAGCATTATTCAGACCTCAGTCAATGTTATTCGCCTCAGCTTCGCTTCGGCAGATAACACTGACCTCGGTCTGAATAATTCTTGATATCATGCTTAGCCTCATCCAATAATTGTTTATTATTATACATTGTAGTTGGTAAAAGCAATTTGATTGGCTAAGAGCTTACAGTTAAATCGCGCACTCACGCAACCTACAGAAAATTCAGTTATCTGCTAGCAGATAACTGAGTTATCTGCAAATGAGCCTGCGATAATTAGCAAGCGGTATCTATTACAAATGTGTAATAAAACAATTACTGAATTCGGTTTTTGCGATATGCAAAATTATTCCGCATATCACAAAAACCTCATCCAATAATTGTTAATGGTTGGAGAATGTTTTGCATTAGATTTCTCAAAGTTGTTGACTGGAATTCGAAACGCTTTTCCTTTACCATCTCTGGCACTTTCACGTAAATTCTAATGTTCAGTAACTTGACTATGGGAACACACAAATGATACAATCAATAAATAGTTCTTCATACTTGTTTGCAGCAGATTGAACAAACATTATATGATTATAATAACTAAATAAGGGCACATGAGGCTGGAAAATAGGATAATCTGGCAGTATTCTCCTTGGTCTCTAATTACAAGAATAATCACACACGTCTAGCAATGGGTTACTATGCTGAATGGCAAATTAAGTAAAATTCATAATAGGTATTTTGCTATTGAAGCATACAACCTTCTACAATAACTGAAGAACAAGAAAGCAACAGAATTTAACAGAATGTCAGTTTTCATACACTTTTTGTACAGACCTGAATTTCTTTGTATACCCCTCATACTTTTTACATACCCCTCACACTTTCTTATTTTTCCTCTTATTATATTTTGCATGCAAGCTGAAGAGGAGCATATAGTCAGAACACTTAAAAATTGAATTATTTTTACATAGCATCTTATAGTCAGTTAGTTAGTTAATTAAGATATGAAATAAAAACTATATGATTTGCCCGCCAATGCAATGCCCGCCAATGGAAGGACTAGCCCTGGATTTTTGTACTGCATGTATGTTTTGTTCTATTGTACAGTTTGGTTTTCCATACCCAATTGTATCGTACGAGCAGAGCCTTTATTTTTCTCTCCCTTTCGCTGGGGAAATATATGGCTTGCTCGCTGCATGCGGTATATCGTTGTCGCGGACCAATCCTAATTGTATCGTTGACGCAGAGCGTTGAAATCCCCAATTCGGTTTGTTGAAATATGGATAATTTTATCTTTCACCTCATAAAAATATTCTTACCATTAGCATTGCACTAATAAACATTCATTGCATTATATATGTTATCTTCATACTCCATACATGCCGAGACATGCGTTCGACAACGCGGCGCGATTTATTTCACCGCTGACCGATAACTTTGATCCTGGTTTAAGTTTTCCAAATATTTTATACTATAACATTTTGAGTTATTAGGTCTACAATACATATCTTTTAAAACTTCCTTTCATTGTGTCTCGGCACCGCTGAGTTAAATATGTAAAACAAAGCAAACCGAAAGGCCATTTCCAAGTATTGCGAAAGCAATTCTTGTAACACAAGTGTCAAGTCACAAAGGTCACTTTGGATTTAAAAAATATTTTCAATAGAAGATTTTCCTACCTTGTATTTCACTTTTCCCAGCCATTCAAGATACCAAAATCACGTTTTCCTTCCCTACTGTTCAGAAACAAAACAACGGAAAAGCTTAGCAATGACGCTAAATATATATGCATATATCAACATAATGCCGCTACATGTGGTCGTTTTCTGAATTCTTTCTATATTTAATTCTGCCTTCTGGCGATAAAATCATTGCGAGTCAGCTTTTACAATGAAACCAATACACAATAGTGTGAATGTACCATGCATGTATCAACTATACTATAATAATTATAAGGTCTTGCAAATTGGATAGTGACGACTCACTATCATTCATACATGGCACATCGGGTTTTAGCTCAGTTACTAATGGCAATGCCGGGGTTATAAGCGGTTACTACTTCGCAACCACACTACAACATACTTGTGAAAGCTATAACACTTAATTAACAACGTATAGCGACAATAATTTGGTAAAAAGTCAATCAAACAAGTGCATTTTTTCATAAAAGCGAAACTGATATATTTTTCAAAAATACTGCCAAATCAAATGAATGATTAAAATTGTAGTCAATGACAATGACAATTATGTAGATAATTTGCGTTGTATACTTTACCGATAGTATTCAACGCTAAAGATTCACTAACCTGATGCTCAAATGTTCGTATATTTCTTCGTACGATTATTTCATTTGCACCAGCAGTTGAATGTTCTGATCACTGTTCATAGAATAAATTCTGACTGCGTGTCTTAGCTTGTTGGTCTTGGATGCGGCATGTGCTAAAACCTGGACGATGGACAATGGACGATTTTTATTTACAGTCGAAAGTCAAAACCCACACACTTCCGCTCTTGTACTTTGTTGTCATTTATTGTAATTGCTAGAGCAGTTCCATCAATAAAACTAAAAATTAAAACAAATATCGCGTTCCCGCCAAAAATCGAGCGGGAATTTCTTTTTGCGCTTGCCAGTCTAGCTCTGAGTCCTCAGTCTAGCCCAGTGAACTATATACAGTGTTCAGTGGGCCAGCCCGTCTCGTGTGACAAATAACAACTTGGCCCAGCAAAGCGATCTAGCCCGGTTTAACGGGCCAGCCTGGCTCATATGACTGACAGTTCTTTAATTAAATAGAAATTATACAAATTACCTTAATCAATGTAAATGTTTCACAACATTGCATTTTTATCGCGGCCTGTCGATTATCGTAAATATTGCTCAAGTTCAAATTTACTGACCAATCAGTGCGGATTATGTCAATGATTAACAATAAATGATAGTTAATAATAAAGCAATAGGTTATCATTTTGTTATCATTTACTATATTTTGTTTTGTATCACTTTAGCGGCTACCAAATTATGCGTTACCAATAATAAAAGTTAAATTTTGCTACTTATGCAGTGAATATTACAGAAAAGCCATGCTTTGTTACAAGTATTGCAAAGTACAAGAGCGGAAGTGTGCGGGTTTTAGTGCTTTGACTTTCGGCTGTAAATAAAAATCGTCCATCGTCCAGGTTTTAGCACATGCCCTTGGATGCGGCAATAGGCAGGTCACGCTCAGGTCACGCTTCGTGCATGCACGGGCAAGCATGCACGGACCAATCACAGTGCTGCCAGTGAGCTACGTCACAATTTGCAAAGCTGCAGAAAACGAAAACACCTGCTCTGACGAAAACACCTGCTATGCAGGCTACTGGAAATACTAATTCTGTGCTGGGAATAGGGACACGCACAATTTTGCTCGAAAATTTGCCTATTATTCTATTCCTTAATTAATATATATTCTCGTGAATATATTCTATTATTCTTCAAATTTGTCCCAATTATTCCCAAAAGTATTCTACATCAAGTCGAACCAAGACAAGGAAGAGATAAGAACTATATATATATATATATATATATATATATATATATATATATATATATATATATATATATATATATATATATATATATATATATATATATATATTGAAATAATGGTGTGGAACTGAAAATTTCGTCAAGATCTTCAATTTCATTTGAATTTTGCGTAATGGATTAATGAAAAACAATTATACTACAGCATTTGTAAATTCTGAACGCTGATTGGCTAAGAGCCTTGTTGATATAACTCAATGTCAACACGGAAGCGTCGGAAAATTTCTTTCTTTATATTTCTTTGTGCTATATTATAAAACAAATATAAAACATTTTTTCGTATTGATATACAGTTATATCAACACTCATGGAAATTGGGAAAACTCGAAATTGTTTGAAAACACTCTTGTTTCCAGAGGGTCTGAATGGGGTTAACTGACTATTGACATGGGGTTAACTGACTATTGACAGTCGAAGCAAAATTTTACAACTGCGGTATTATCATTGCTGGGGATTTCAATCGTCTTAATGTGAATCATATAATTAAGCATTTTCGGTTGAAACAAATAGTTAAATCACCAACTCGAGGCGAAGCAATACTTGATCTTATATTAACGAATATGCACGAGTTCTACAAGTCTCCGCAAATACTCCCTCCAATTGGATTATCTGATCACAACACAGTTGTAGTTTCACCCACTCACATTGTGAAGAAAGCAAAATCTACATTTGTATACAAACGAGACCTTCGTCAGAGTAAGAAAGATGCCTTGGGGAGATTTTTACAATCAATCCTTTGGCCTGAAATTTTTTCTCAATCACAAAGCTGTGAAGATATGGCGAATTTTATTTATGACATTGTAGCTATTGGTCTTGACCTCCTCATGCCAATTAAACGGATTAAGAAAATCTCTGCAGATGTTCCTTGGATGACCGATAAATTGAAAACATTTATAAAAAAAAGACAAGAAGCCTTTTTCAGTTACGGTCCAAAATCCAACTGCTTTAAATATTACCGAAATATTGTCAATCGGGAGAGAAAAGCGTGTAAATCAAAATACTATACGACCCAGGTTCACAGTAAAGAAAAAGATAACCCTAAAGCTTGGTGGAGTGAAATCAAACGCCTAGGAGGAATGAAATCAATGAACAGCTCCCTAATAAATTTGATAAATATCGCTGGTTTTGAAGATATATCGGAACAAGAACTAGCAAACAGAATAAATACAGCTTTTCTTGAACCCTTATCAGAATATCAACTATCTTCACCGTTAGAGCGACTTAACTTAGAGGAAAACCCAGATTTCTTAGAAGTTTCTGAAGAAAGGGTTTTATCACAGCTACAAAAACTCAACCCCAGTAAAAGTGGTGGCCCTGACGAAGTGCCCAATTGGCTCTTGCGAGAGTATGCTGTAATCCTTGCCCTCCCAATTAGTCTACTCCTAAATGCATCCTACAAACAACAACGCCTACCTGCAATATGGAAACTTGCGAATGTTTCACCGCTGCCAAAAGTAAAAATAGTACAGGACCTGAAAAAAGAACTTAGGCCCATTTCTTTAACACCTAATATTTCGAAGGTTGCAGAGCATTTCGTTGTTAATGATTATATGAAACCAGCTGTTTTGAAGAAAATTGACCCCAATCAGTATGGAGCAATCCCTAAATCATCGACGATTTTTGCTCTTCTTAGTATGGTGCATAACTGGACCTCCGGGCTTGACGGTACCGGTTCTACAACTAGAATCATTCTATTCGATTACCAAAAAGCTTTTGATCTAATTGATCACAGAATTTTTGTTCAATAAACTACTTCAGTTAGATCTACCACGAAGTGTTATAAATTGGATTATTGATTTCTTAAGTAACAGATTCCAAAGAGTCAAACTTTCACAAGGATGTTTTTCAGATTGGGGTGCAGTACCTTCGGGCGTCCCTCAAGGCACCATTTTAGGTCCATGGCTCTTTTTAATCCTGATAAATGATTTATCTATCGCAAATACTGACTTATGGAAATACGTGGACGATACGACAGTATCGGAAACAGTTGACAAAAACCAACAGAGTAGAGCACAGACAATTGCTAATGAGATGTCACAATGGTCCCAAAACAATAAAATGAAGCTGAATGAAGAGAAATGTAAGGAACTCCGTATTTCCTT